ATTTCTTCATAAATGAGAAAATAAGATAATAACCTTAGGAAAAAATGAGTCCAATATCAATAGTAGCTACTAAGCTTATTCTTCTAAAAGAATCACTTGGATTTAAAAATGAAACTCAGGTTTTATGAAACACTTTCCCTATATATTCATTTTTATTTTATGTATGAGTGTATTGCCTCCATGTATGTAAGTGAACCCATGTCGTGCAATGCTCAAAGAAGTCAGAGAGGGTGTCAGATACCAAGGAACTGGAGTTACAAACAGCTGTAAGCCATCACCTGGGTGCTGGGAAGCAAACCCAGGTTCTCTGCAAGAACAGCCAGTGCTCTTGACCACTGAGCCATCTCTCCAGCCCCTATGCTTTTATTTTTTTCAAAGATCTGGCTTTGAAATTATTTAGACTTAATTTTGAAAAGTTAAGGCATTCTGACTAAACACATTAAAGTCTTCTCATAGGAAATGGACGCTCATTGTCCGCTTGGCCAGAGAGTGCAGCTGCGTTTTAATGTAATATCTCTGCTGACACACTTGGATTTTGTTTGTTTTGTTTTTTTGAGACAAAATCTCCCTGTAGCCCCAGCTGACCTGGAACTGACTATGTAGACCAGGCTGGCCTCAAGCTCACAGAGATCTGCTTGCTTCTGCCTCCTGAGTGCTAGGATTAAAAGGCGTGCACCACCATGCCCAGCATAAGTTTGTTTAATACTTAAAAAGCCCTGATTGATCACTTCAGAGTATTTATTGTGCATGAACCACACAAACATAATACTGAATGAAGAAAATGGAAAGCTGTCTTCTTCCTTTTAGTGATCAGGAAGCCTGTGTCAGACAGTCAAAACGCAGAAGACAGTAGCGCCCCCTTCATATGTTTTCTATGGAAACTTTCTTTTTATGGAGGGGAGGGTGGGGGGAGGACAAGGCTTCACATAGCAGAGGCTGACCTTGAACTACTTACTGATTCTCTTGTCTCCATTTCTTAAGGCTGGGATTATAGGTTTGTGCCACCACTCCCAGCTTGCTTTTGTTTTGAATGGATCAAAACTATATCTCTAAATCTGTGTGTGTGTGTGTGTGTGTGTGTGTGTGTGTGTGTGTAAGAACTTGCTGCTGGAGATCAAACCCAGGTCCTCATGCACACTCTACTATTGTGTTTCATCCCTAAGACCTTTTAGAAGTATTTTCTTTGAGACAAAAATCTCACTAAATTGTCCAGGTTGATCTTGAATTTGTACACTCTGACTCAGCCTCCCAAGCAGCTGAAATTATAGGTGTGTGTTAATCTGCAATCTGGTCAGGTCTTGAACCTGACATTCTCCTGCCTGAGCCTCCTGAGTGTTAGGATGACAGGAGTGCAGCACCTCATGGCTGGCTATCATTCTTCACTGTCAAATATCCAGTGTTCCAATGTCTAATAATCTTATGTGTCATTATTTCTATAGTTGTCTTACATGAATCAGAATCAAAGTAGGAAACACTTATTGCTGTTGGCTGATAATGTCTCTTAATCCTCTCTCCCTGGAATTTGAAGTGTGTACCTGTCAGAGGAATTCTGTGCTTCCGAACAGAAGCCCTTCATGTGCACTCATTTGTTTACTAACTTGTTAGCATTGTTAGACAGGGTTTTGCTGTGTAGGTCTGCAGACCTGGTACTCACAAAGTAGCTGAAGTTGACCTTGAATTCAAAGCAGTGTGTGAACCCCCACCCCTGGCTTTAGTAATGTGACAAACATTTATTAAGTGGCTACCATTTTTTGATTATACAGAAGATGCAGGGATAAAAGTATGTGTCTTTTTAGCCTTAAATTTTATTTATGTATTTTTAAATTTTTATTAAATTTTGTGTGTATGAGTATATTGCTTGCATGTATGGAAGTCACCCGTGTTGTGCAATGCCTGCAGAGGTCAGAAGAGGGCATCAGATTCCCTAGAACCAGAGTTCTAGACAGTTATTATCCTCCATGTGAGTGCTGGGAACTGAACCTGGGTCCTCTGCAAAAGCAGCCAGTGCTCTTAACCACTGAGCCGTCTCCCCAGTCTCTTGGGCTTAGATTTTAAAGGGAAAGAGAAAAAAATAAGAAATTAATCTGTGCCTGGTGGTAAGAAGGCTACACTGAAAAACAAAACAAGCTTTAAATGTAGACTGTTCCCAGGGCTGCTGCTTCAATATTCCTTCAGCATTGTGGAGGAATGTTTCTGAGTCACAAGCAAATAGAAATCTTAGCAATTCTTAAGACTGTCCAGTGGAAGACAGCTCTAGGCTGAGGGGCAACACAACTGAAGGCTGGTGTTTCCCACGGCTGAAGAACTGGAACAGTACAGACTGCGGAAACAGAGAGGAGGAAAGTGCTCCTGTCCGCAGGAGGAGTCAATGCTGACTGCTCAGAAGCTCCACATCACTGATGCCAAGACCCCAGCTCTGTGCACAGCCTCCTCTGCTGTTGTGTCTTCCCATTGCTTCCTCATTTTAAAAGGTGCACTTGTCTGTGCTCCCTGAAGCCTCACTTGCCTGCTGCTGGGTGACCTTGCCACCTCCTGTGAGAGGTCTGTGCCATGTCTGAGATCTGTAGACATTCACACATTTTCCCTAATTTGTTCTCAAATTTGGGATTTGACATTTCTTAGTGTGAGGCTTGGGACTGTGGCTTTCTTCTAACTTTACTAGACTAACAAGATATCTTCCCCACCCTTTACTCTTCTAGTTGTGCTCACTTCTACCAACTCTAAATAGAATTAATTGCTTCCCTCATCTACCATACAGAATGATGAACTGAGCTTAAATCTTTCAACCAATAGGTTTTCCTATTTGAAATGTAGAATTCTGCAACACTGAGATTCACGTACTTGTAAGTGTTCTTTGAAAAACTGAGCGTAGCCTGGCATGGTGTTGCAGGCTTTAATCCCACCACTAGGGAGACAAGAGCAGGAGGATCTCTGTGAGATCTAGGCCAGCATGATCTGCATAGAGTGTTCCAAGTCAGTGGGGCTACACTGTGAGACCCTGCCTCAAAAACAACAACAAAAGAATATTGTAGCTATAAAAATTTAAACTTAGAAACTAAATTTCTACCATGATTTGTATATTCAACCTACAAAATGACAAAAGGCAAATAATGTCAATTTCCAAATGAAGACATAGTAGAGAGAGAATAAGCAACAAATCGAGCAATGCAATACATGTGAAATACGTCAAATTGTCTTTATTTGCCACATAAATAATCTGTATGCAACGTGTTCTTCTGAATCATCTAATAATTCTAAATTGTCAATTCTTTAAGTGATTATTAAAATCATATATCTCAAATATATGAATAACCTTTTCTTCATGTAAATTTTTGTTTAGCTCTTATTATCAAAAACACTGAAATAAGTAGTGAGTTCAAATATTTATAGGCAAGAATATAAAATTTTTTACATGTTAACTTTTATTTTCTAGTTCAATTAGAAATATTTTAACATTCAAATACTCTGCTAGCTGTTAAAGACAGAAAAATAAAGAAATCGCTTTCTACTCCCAAGGGTCTCATGGTTAAGCTAAAAGCAATAAAACAGGCAATATACTAAGTATAATAAACAATATTTAAATAACCGAGATGCTATAGAAATAAAGAAGAAGCAGTTAACTATCATCAGAGGTGACATTTGAACTAGATCTGGGAAACTGAAATAAAGTTCATTCAGCTGACAACGGAACAGATGTTATTTCTAGGAAACAGACTGTTTGTACACAGAGGGAAACCATAAAACATGCTGACAGGTCCTCCCAGTGTCTGGAACAGTCAGAACACAAGGTAAGCTTAGGGAGATGATGGAGATGAGACTTGCTGAGGAAAGGGGAGCAAAGCAGATATAAAGGGCCTGATGTACAAGGCGAGCAATAATTCCTAAACACGGTGCATGGTATGGGGTGGATGAAGTTTAGAGCTGCTTCAGTGACACAAGTGGCAGTAAGGGTGGGGAACAGTCATGTGGATAAACAGGACTGATCCAGCAACACAAGATTGACAACCTAAGAACTGGCAGTCTTTCAGAATCAAGGGGTGAGATGCAGAGGACTCAGGTATCCAGCTGTGTGAGTGCCATGGAATAAACTGGAGAAAGAGTAGACGCTAAGAGTTAGTGCAAAAGAGCAAGAGACAAATTTGGCCATGTCGAAATAAGCAGAATAAAAATTAGGCCTTGGGCTCAGGAGAGGAAAGGCTAAGAAATTACCCTAAATAACACACCCAAGACAAATCAGCAGAGGCCATCAACTTTAATACTGGTGTTGTTTGCTGCAGAAATATTTTTTTTTTAATAATTTTTTTTTTTTTTGGTCTTTTTGAGACAGGGTCTCCCTGCAACCGCAACTGGCCTAGAACTCACTATGTAGACCAGGCAGGCCTCTATCTCACAGAGATCTACCTGCCTCTGCCTCCTGAGTGCTGGGATTAAAGGCATGTACCACCATGCCAGGAATGATTAAAAAAAAAAAAATCTACAGTATTCATTCATGGAAAGTTTTTAATTTAACGTAATTGTGGGCTCTAAAAAATCATAGTAGTTCAAAAATATACAGTGAAAACAGCACCCCCTAAGCCTCAGTTCCCCTTCCCAGAGCCATCAGCACCAATTTCTTTAATATCCTTGCAAAGATGTTAATATGTGTAAGCATGTAAGTGAACATGCAATAAAGACCCTCCTTTAAGTAACCTGTGGTGGTGCACGCCTTTAATCCCAGTACTTGGGAGGCAGAGGCAGGTGGATCTTTGTGAGTTTGAGGCCAGCCTGGTCTACATAGTGAGTTCCAGGACAGCTGGGGCTACAAGGAGACCGTCTCAAAAAAGACAAAAAAAAAAAAAAAAAAAAAAAAAAAAAAAATTCTTAAGATGTGTAATAGTCTCTAAACGTGGTAAACAAAAGCATACCACAGCACTACTGCTCAAGCTCATCTCTATTTACAACTAATACATTCAATGTTAGTGAAGATAGGAGTCCACTAATTCCTCTTCCCATGCACTGACCTTTAGGGCATTCCTTGGGTAACAGGTTCTGAATGTGTGAGCACACCAGGGCCCATTCCCAGATGGTACTTTACTCAAGACTTGAAATCTGGGCGCCAACTAGAAAGGGGAAGGGGAGATTATGCATTAGTTTCTAATTCAGAATATTTTACTCCATATAGAAAATCCACATTCCTTAATTACTCCATCAGTAAGAGGTATGTTTTTGTTTTTAATGTGTATGAGTGTATTGCCTACATGTAGGTAGTTGCACCCTTATGCAGTGCCCTTGGAGGAAAGAAGAAGGTATCAGATCTCCTGGAACTGGAGTTACAGATGGCTATTAGCCATGTGAGTACTGGGAATCGAACCTGGGTCCTCTGAAGGAGCAGTCAGTGCTCTTAACTGCTGGGTCATCTCTCCATCCCCAAGTAAGAGATTAAAAAAAAAAATACTCTGATGCCTACAATCTCATACTTCAAGTCAAAAAGCTGGGGTCAGAGCAGGGCAGGGTTATAAGCAGTTCCTCGGTTGCCCTTAACATTGATCCAAGAGTTGAGAACAAGTGCTTCACAAATAAAATATCTTATTTTATGAAGATCACTCATAAACTTTTAATTTTAGTACTACATAATGTTCAATCACGAGAAAAACATTTTAAAACTACTTGGGTTTTAAATCACCACATTTCCTAACGTAGAACAAAGTGACAGCAACAATTCTACAATGGAGCACTCTGCAAGTATTCTCAAATATCTAAACAAACCTAACGGTCTCACACAAACCTGCTCTGGACACTGCATTATAGAAAAGACAAAATCAAGAGCTGGGCATGGTGGTGCATGCCTTTAATCCCAGCACTTGGGAGGCAGAGGCAGGCAGATCTCTGTGAGTTCAAGGCCAGCCTGGTCTACAGAGTGAGTCCCAGGCCAGGTGGGGTTACAGGGAGACCATACACAGAGCCAAACAAAACTACTTAACAGCAAGGTACAATGACTACTGATTGACTGCAAAATTCAGAAGTGACATGAACAAATGAAACTGCAAATAACCGCTGCAAGCAGGTCACTTTTATAGGGATTCTAACTCATAGATATAAGTCTGTGCTCTCTAATATGACAGCCTGACAGAGTTGGCTTCATTTGTCAATTTGACACACCTAGAAGAGGTAGCCTCAATTGGGGAATTTCCTCTGCTAGCCTATAGGCATGTCTATGATGCATTTTCTTGAATGCTAACTGATGTGGTAGGGGCCAGTCCACTGTGAGTGGGGCCACCCTGGGCAGGTTTCTTGGACTGTATAAGAAAGCAGGCTGAGTACAGGCCAGAAGAGCAGGCCAGGAAATGGCATTCCTCTGTTTCAGTTGCTGCCAGGGTCCTGCTTGAACTCCTTGCCTGGACTTCCCTCAGTGAGAACTGTGACATGGACACATGGACGTGTAAGCCAAATAAGCCTTTTCTTCCTCAAGGTGCTTTGGTCATGGAGCGCATCACAGCAATAGAAGCTAAACTGTAAGACAGCCACTAGCTATATGTGGCTATTTAAACTTAAGTTAGTATTAATTTAAATATATTAAGTAAAAAGAAATCCACTTCCTCAGTTGCATAAGCCCCATCTGAAGTGTGCCTAGGGACTATCCCTTTGAACAAAAAAAAAAACAAACAAACAAAAAAAACAATAGGGCATTTCAATTGTTACAGCAAGTTACTCTGGACAGTGTTGACTTGGGAATAAAGAATCTCTGCAACATCATACTATATTTTTCAATATATTCTAGTAAAATGGTCTATGACTTTCAATTGACATCCAAAGGAAATTATATCCAACTCTTACACCAATGCCTCAACTGTCGATATCCAAGCCCATAGAAAGTAGGAAAGAGCTTATTTTCCAAAGATACAAACACAACTATATCAAGATTAGCACTTCTTTCCCATCACAGTCTTGGACGGTAGACAAGTAGGGCTGTTCCTCCTGCAAAATGCTCTCTCCCTGCTCTGATGCTACTACAGTTCTGGGGCTCCAATGACAAAAGTAACAGTAAATCACGACCTTACACAGACTTCCTTTGCTCCATTCATCAACTCCAAGATCACTAGCTGTTGGTATCTCAAAGATATCTGTGTTATTTTATGTGTATGAGTGTCAGGCCTACATATATGTAAGTGCACCAGTGTTGTGCAGTACCTGCAGATGCCAGAAGAGAGCATCAGATTCCCCTGGAACTGGATTACAGATAGTTGTTAGCTGCCATGTGGGTGCTGGGATCTGAACACAGATCTTCTGCAAGATCAGGCAGTGCTCTTAACTGCTGAGCCACCTCTCTAACCCCTGGCCTTTCTTTTGACCCCAAATACTGCCTTTTATGTCAAATGTAATCACAACTAAATTCAGCATCCCACAGACACAAATAACAAACTTCCAACAGCATTAGTATCATACACCTAAGTTGGCATAAGGGTTTTACATGGAACAGAGACCTGATCTCTGAGATGAGCTACTGTTACAGAGAAACATTCTAGCTCTGCCTCCACACAGAACTGGGTCAGGCAACTGAAGCACTCATTTGGGCTGCTTTCCTATTTCGACAGCAAAGTAGCTGTAACTGAGACAAGTTGTCTTGTGAGGGCTGCCTCTGCTACCAGGATTGTACCTTCTACCACCTATTCTGGGAAAAAGGGATGGAGGAAGAGAAGGGTAAAAGGAGGGGGAGGAGAAGGTAGGGGGAGGAGGAGGGAGATGAGCAAAAGATCAACGACTATGTGAAGCCTCTCTCCTAAGAGTGTTCATCCCCTCGACTCATTGGTGAGGGGACCTCCTCTTGGCTTACTACCACATCTCTACCACCACAATGTTCATTAGTTTCAATACCTGAATTTTGGAGGAGACACAATCAAACCATAGCAGACAGTTTAAAAAACAGCAAAGAAATAAACCCTAAATTCTGGACAAAGAATCTGAAAGACTGTCAAGATCAGAGTAGAAAGTATGGGCTGAGTTTCAATACTCCAGTATTTTATTCCTGATTTTATCTTTCATTCAAACAGTAAACCATGTCAGCATTCTATGGTTTTTCTGCTTAGTGTGACAGACTGATATATGAGGGTGAATATGAAGTCTGAATGCAGTATCTTCTCTGTCAAATATGACATACCACATGAAGAAATTACCTACAATTCAAGCTATTTCTGAATACCTTCATTCTACTCAGCAGACTAGCCATAAACAAAGAAGTGTGCTTTATGCCAGTCTTCAGTCCTTTTCATATACTTCAGTTTTCTCATTCTACTCTGAAGGTTCTTTCCTATTCCAAAGCTGTCAAGAACTAGCTAGCATCTTATTCCATGTACACAGCATGACCCTCTAGCATGAAAGCAATACCTTAGAATAAAAGCAACTTATATGAGCTAGAGAGGTAGCTCAGCAAATAAAGTGCTTGCTCTGCAAGCATGAGGACCAGAGTTCAGATCCCCACTACTCACAAAAGTATTGGCCCATCTGTAATCCTAGCATTTGAGAGGCAGAGACAAGAGATGCTCAGAGCAAGCTGGCTATCTAGACTAGCCAAAGTGAATTAAAGTGAGAGACCCTGCATCAATAAAGATTGATCAAAGAATTCCAGCATCAATCCCCTGCCTCTAGACGCACACACACACACACACACACACACATACACACACACACACAAACACATACTAAAAACAATTTATATACTTAAATATTTTATAAATCTACTAAATTAAATTTTATAAAATCATACATGAAAAGATTGAGCTCTATAAAAGCAAATCCATTCAAAATAGTTACTTCCTCTGTATATAATTAACAGAACATGTTACAGTTCAAATCTGGAAGCCTAAGAACTCACAAGTGACCACTAATCATCTATGAATCATTTACAGACACATCAAAAGGCAAAATAAGGTTTCCATCGTGATAGAAGTGCATCCAGAAGTCCTTAGCATTTTGCGGTGATTTAAAAATGTCAACAAGTTGGGGCTGGAGAGAGGGTTCAGAGGTTAAGAACACTGACAGTTCTTGTAGAAGATCCGGGTTCAAATCCTACATGGCAGCTAACAACTGTCTGTAACTCCAGTTCCAGGGGATCCAATAGCCTCTTCTGTCCTCTGCCGGCACTGCACGAGACAGGTGCACTTACCTACATGCAGGCAATGCATACATATACATAAAATAAAAATAATAAATAAAATATTTAAAAAAATAAAAAAATCAACAAGTTGATCCATGTTCCTACCTTCAAATGAAGAGGTTTATCTCCATTTTCCTTGAATGGAAACTCACTTCCAACAAATAAATGTGGGGACTGACACTATATGACTTTCGAGACTAGGTCATGAATGAGTTCATATCCTAGCTCTGCCATTTGATTCCGTCCTTTCAAGTTTGTTGTTGGGATTGGAAAGAACATATGTAAAGCCTTTTACCTAGCACCAGAATATTACAAGCATGCTAAGTAGCTTCCAAGTAAGCACTATCAGGAAAAGAGAAGCTCATCACAGGGGCCCCAAGTAACTACTTATCATCATTAATGTCTCCCTAAAGAAAGCTATGTCAGGACTGAAAAATAAAAGCTAACCTATATTCTTAAAGGAAAGTTGCACATTGCTGAAATCAACCCAAATCACAAAGAATATAGAGCTAGAAAAATCTTTTCCTATTAGCTTGAGTCCACTCAAATTAGCATGCTCATTACATCAAGTATCAATCATTTTCATGGTTCAACCTCCTAGCTATAAAAATATAAACACCCTGCATCCTGGCTTCCCTGAGGGGAGCAGTTTTCTCCTCCACACTCTCTTGCCATCATGGATGTTCTGCCTCACCACAGGCCCATAGCAACAGAGCAAGCCAACCATGGACTAAAATACTGGAAACCTTGTTACAGACGGAAGCACAAATAAGCTCATCGCCTGCTATGTGGGTAATACCACAGAAGACGCAGTCCTGGTAGGAATTAATGGCAATTGAACTAAGTTGTTCGTTGATTGAGAAGTGAGAGTTTTCAAGTGTTGGAGGCCCATGGCTATGGGCCCAAACTCTACTGTCCCTTCAATAATGGACTATGCTATGAATTATACAGTGACTCCAAACCATGTCT